ATATATATATATATATATATATATATATATATATATATATATATATATATATATATATATATATATATATATATATATATATATATATATATATATATATATATATATATATATATATATATATATATATATATATATATATATATATATATATATATACAGCCTGCCTTTTTTATTATTACAGCCCATTGAATGTCGCTGGAACAAAGGCTTATTCATTCAATGGGCTAATGAAAAAAGAATATTAAATTCATGTTTAACTTACTTCTTTTCACCCTTGCAGTTCCTTCTTTAGAAAACAAACTATTTGTGAGTAGACACACACACACACACACACACATAAAATAACACAAAAATGTCTGCCCCATTCGGGCAATGCCTATTCTGAACAAAATATTTGAAATAAATATTTAAATTGTTCAATGTGTTATAATTCATTTGAGTATATAATTTAAAGTTCTGATAATGTAATGTAAGGTAGGCCAGTGGGTACAAGAGATCACTTATTTTATTAAAGCAATGTCATAATTATAGGAGATATCTATACTTAATCAGGGAGACAACTTTTGATGGTTGACCCAAAAGTGCTTTTTCAAAAGGCAACTAGACTTTGTTTTTCCTTGAAGACATTTTGAATCTGATCCAAGAAGCTTCCTCAATTCATCAGACAGAACTGAAGAAGCTTCTTGGATGAGAAGCGAAATGTCTTTAAGGAAAAACAAAGAAAGTCCAGTTGCCTTTTGAAAAAGCTCCTTTGGAACAACCATGACCTGGATGACAGAGACTCTCCATAGACATTTCAATGTTTGAGAGCTTCATTAAACAAAGGCAAGACCAATATTATTTTATGTATTGTTTGTTTGTTAAATTTATTTGCCACCTATCTCACTATGGGGTTACTTTGGCAGCTTCCAAAATAAAATTTAAAAAAAATATAAAAATAATGTAAACATAACAAAAGCAAAGCAATAAATGAATAAAAATAAACAATGAAAGTATAATAATATGAAATGAAAAAGGTGGGCAGAAGAGGAGCAGAAAGAACAGAGGAAGGTGGGAATTAAAAGGCTGCCCTAAGAGGACAGACTAGGCAAAACAGAAAGGTCTTTTTTTGTCCTTAAAAGGACAACAGTTTTGCATTTCTTTTAGATGAGAATTATTCTTAAAAAAAAAAAAGGCTGAGACTATTTTAGAGCTTTTGGCCTGGAGCCTCACATATTGCACCCTTGTTCTAAGCCTTAAGAGGCAATGATGCTTGAATATGATCATCATCCTAGGGGAAAAAATAAGACAGTTTGATCTAGATTTTTTATTAAAACATAAAAATAATATAGGAAAATTTAATAATAAGAATTACCTGAACTTTCAAAGGTTCAAAAGTATTTATGGAGTGTGTTAGACCATATATAACTTTATCTTTTTCTGCAGCAAAGGTACCTAGATGGAATATAAACACAATGTTTGAAAAATAAATTTTCATTCATATATATGATCCACATTCCATCCCCTGGATGGCTTATAACATCAAATAAAATAACCTTAAAACCAGAAAGCTGTAACACTAAACAAAAATATGTTAACATATATAATAAATTAATCATCTGCTTACTACATAGCCAGCATCATAACTACCTAACAGAGAAAGGTAATAAAAATCATACCCTCCCACAGTGTGTAAGTCAGAGAGACTCTGGTCAGGGAAATACCCAGAAACCTGAAAAAATGAACTACTCATTCTACTGAACTAACCTTGTTTTGTTATCAAGCAAGAACAGCATTCAGAAATTTTTAAGTATTCTTCAAAGACAGTCCAAAAAGAGCATTTTATAGTAATCTAAACATAAAGTAATGACAAAAGTGATTTACCAAAAATTCTGTCCCAAATAATTAATGTGCCACCATAGTTTTTATCGATACAATATGGATTTCTGCCTAAAGAAAGAAAATATAAAGCAATTTTTTTCATTAGATTTAAACAATATATTAAGGTGAAACCAGACATCAACACAAATGGCAAAGGTAGTCATTATTATTACTTAAATAGTGAATAATTTAATTAATCATTATTAACTTATTTTACATCAAGACTATCATTTATAATTATTTCACAATCTCTCTCTCTCTGTAAAATATTTGATACATAGATGGACAGAGAGGCAATAATATAACCATATAATATATTCATAAATCACCAATGTCTAATTTAGAAATAAAAATTCATGAAATTTGTAAGATTTTATAACACTACTTTAAAATTCATCAACCAAAAAGTGGTGAAAAAAAGAATTCTATTTATTTTCTCACATTGAATAATGTCTAAGAATAAGTACACTATTATGGCTTCATAATATCCAGTATTGCCTACCATGATGAACTCTGTGATGACTAGGAGTATTGAGAATAAACTCCAACGGGCCAAGATTTTCAATAATCTTTGGGAAAAAAACATGCAGTATGATTACAATGGATTGAAGCTCAATAAAATAAGAGTAGATAATTAAACAGAAGAAAGAAAAGGATGGGGAAAATGTTTAACAAAAGTTTAGTTAATTCAAAAAATTCAGTCAGTTTTCATGATATGGATATTTCTACAATGTGTATAACACAGCAATAACAACAATTCAAAATGACCTCTTACTTCCTGTAAAATATGCTATCATTTTGATTATGTGCAATCAAATTGTTTTTCATTCCTATAGTATTATAATTTGATCATAATCTTTTTTTAAGGAGTCACAGAGAATATTTGTTGAATTCTATTTTTAAAACATTCTCATGTAAGTTTCAAGTTATACCATGTATAATTTATATATCTGTTCAGATCATCCATTGCATATTTGAGCAGATATCTGAATCTGCCTCTCCTTACTTTTGGTTTTTAGCCATTACAACAGTTTTCAACACTTCTGTAAATGTAGAATTTACAAACTCACAAATAAAAAATAGTTGAAAAATTGAGAACACTTGCAAAACCAAAAAAAAAATTATAATATAGTATATTCAGTCATTCATGGTAATATTTATTAATCTCAAGGTATTATTTCAATGCAGTGAAATGAGGCATGTTTATATGTTGTTCTTGCACTCAGTATAAAGTCAATATAATTCCAAATTATACTTTTCTGACTCAGAAAGCTATTACCTAAAAGTGTTTTGGTTATAATCACATATTTACCTGAGTCATGATTTTAATTCTATAGAGCAAATTCCCTCTAGCAATCTGATGATTATTTCTATTTCTAATATTCAAAACTCAAAAACAGCACAAATGTTTGCTTTTGAATATTGTCCCAAAACAACTTCAATTGTCTTAGATTGGGACAAAATCCTCACATTTCAATTTAATTCTATTTTCTTCTTCCTAAAGCATTATTGTTTTAAGAAGGATGAATCCTGTACACGCTTGCTTATGGGAAGGCCTCATTCAAATCATAGTACTTGCTTTTGAATAAAAACTTAACTGGATTCTACTTATTTTAAAAGTAGAGAAGGATTCTCCATGAATTGCGGTTCATAAAATGAAAAATCAGCAGTTTATCTAAAATACCGCACTAACTTTGCTTTACCAAGTTTCAGTTTGTTTTTAAGATAAACATTGAAATGCTTTAGTAAAAATATACCATATTTAGACTTTCAACAGAAGTATTATAGACCAATTCATATTTTTTGGCTTTGCTTAGAAGTGGCTTAGGGCTGTACTTTTGATCAAAGTAGACACTTTTGATTTTTTAAAATCCTTGCGAACAGCATTGCTTACAATATGGATCCTTTGAAGAGCTGATTTTAACCTCTGGCCCACATCTCTAGCACAGCAGTGGGCTACAGTTCAAATCACAGAACAAAATATGTTATTCACCCACAAGAGAGAGTTGCAATGAGGGTAGGAGGATAAGCTATATATAATGTTGACTATCTTGCGCTTAAGCTATTCTCATCACCCAAGTGGACCAAAAATATTGTTCAATCAAAAGTGCTATAAAAAGATGCACAAACATGTCATGAAATGGAAAGGATGACTATGTTGCTTAAAGCAGCTTCTCTTCACTGCAAGTAGCAACTTGTATTCAGTCAGTCTTGAATCAAGTCTTGGAGTCACACACATACACACGGGTAACTGAAATTGCTAAGGTGGGTAGTATTGACTATCTTTTTGGGTAATGCTACCTCATAGCCCTGATCCATAATCATGAATATTAAAGAATTTGTTTCTGTATCTTATCCAACAGTAATTAAGCTACGATTTGTATAATTACTTGTTTAGTTTCCATGAATTATGGCAGAAATTCAGAAAATAAATTCAGTACAATCATCTGAACCTGGAATTTTAAAACAATTATGAATGTATTATTGACTAGTATAAATAAGATAGATGTACTCCTACAAATAGTATTACTACTGCTGTTGTATTTATACAAATAACCATTCAGTTTTTATATCTTGTGGATACAATCTAAAGTTCCATGTAATCTTTAAAACTTTGGGATGTGGCCTTCAGAAATTTCCAAATATTGTTACATATTTTTGGTTTGCGATTATCACAAGCAAAAAATATTAAGACAAGCGGTATTGTAATAATTGCATTTCATTATATAACATTTAAATTTAGTGATTGTCCTCACTACAAAGAGTTTGACACGACTTGGTAACTGAACAACAAAAATTGCACACCATAGGGCCCCATGATGTCATAGTAAACTCACAGGACGCCATAGGATATTTTACTACTTAATAAATGGAACTGTTAGTAAGTCTGCTACAGTGCTCATAACACACAATTCACATTATCACACACAATTTGGGAACTACTAAAGGAACCATGAAAGTTTAGGAAACTCTGCATATAGCAAAATATCCAGACTGTTCTCAATAGCACCTATAAATGTATAGCAGAAAATTTTGAGAAATATAGTGATTTAAACAAAAACTTTTATTACATATGTAACTGCATTTCATGCATTTAAAATAAAACAAAAATATATAAATAGCAGTTTTCCAATATCTCAAGGGCTGCCACAAAGAAGAGGGAGTCAAGCTATTCTCCAAAGCACCTGAAGCAGGACAAGAAGTAACAGATGGAAACTAACAAAAGAGAGAAGCAACCTAAAACGAAGGAGAAAACCTGCCTCCAGAATGCTCCAACACTGGAAGTTTTTAAGAAGAGATTGGACAGCCATTTGTCTGAAATTGTATATGGTTTCCTGCCTGAGCAGAAGGTTGGATTAGATGACCTCCAAGGTCCCTTCCAACTTTATTATTATTATTATTATTATTATTATTATTATTATTATTATTATTATTATTATTATTATTATTATTATTATTATAGAACTATTTCCTATAAACTAACAACCAATCAAGCTTAGGAGGCAAGTCACTTTATTTATACTGATTAAACTGTTATATAATGTATTTTTCTTCACATACTATTATACTTTCCTTTACCAAATTCACTTGACTTACACACACTCACATCCTTAAAGTATGAATCCATATTTGAGACCATCTGGTGAGGAAACATAAAAATAAAAGCATGGTTTGCTTTTCTACTAAAGTTGTTGTGTTAATTCAAAATAACCCAGCCATGTATTTTTACAGATGGACTTGGTGGCCATACTTGCCATGTGAATTCTCTACAGGGGACCTGCGAACAGCAAAAACCCTAGGATATGTGCTTGTCTGCCTGCTTGCACACTTTGAAATTTTCGGCAAACCCTGATTTATTCATCGCCAAATGTTTTCCTATCTGATTAGGCAGTTTTCTACTTCAGTAAGCATGTAATATGGAGGTAGCCAAATTTCTACACTAAGGAGTGAAACAATAATATTTTTGGTTTGCAAGTAAAAACAAGCTAAAAGAACCAGCCTGTTGGGATCATAAAGGGATTCATGGGGGATTGAATTCTAATATAACTATATTCTGGGTATAAAGAAGTGAAGATTTAGGGTTCAAAACTGTTTAGAGAAGAAACACAAGGTCATATTTGTAATAAATTATCTTGAGAGCAGAGTGCTGGCATCTGGTTTTCTGTTCTTTTATTTCTAAACCCACATTTCTAAACCTATGAGTGAATTTGGTATATAATGCAACTATTTCACTTATAATGTTTGATAAGGAATTCTGCTTCCTGTTGGACCTCAACTCAGATGGTCTTTCTGATATGTCTGAATCAAGCAATCTAATTATGTCACATATGCCTGGAGCCCTGCATCCCTGAAGTAATCTCATAGTCTCTATGAATTCATGTAGAGACCTCAAAAGACTGGCTCAGGATTATTCACGGGAAAGTTTTCATATGCTCGGAACTGCACACATAGCGCTTACTCATATGAATATCTACATTTAAAACAAACCACTTTCAAATTTTAGATTATTACACAAGGGAAATATACAAATTACAGGGCAGCTGATGCATGACTATTCAAAGTAAAGCTCATATAATTCAATGTAACTTCAACAGGTCTATACACTCAAAGTTATAAAGTGAATAATAATACATTAAGTCAGCATAGGGCAGGGGTAGGCAACCTTGGCTCTTTTATGACTCTTGGATTTCAACTCCAAGAATTCCTGAGCCAGTCATGTTGAGGGGAAAGAGAGAGGTTTCCAAGCTGAGCCATGCTGGCTCAGGAATTCTGGGAATTGAAGTCCACAAGTCATAAAAGAGCCAAGGTTGCCTATCCCTGGCATAGGTCATGAATAATATGGAGGCATCCGTTAATGTCTGAATTCAATCTGGTACCCCCCCCAAGGATTATAAACATTGAATATTTAAACCAAAGACACTAATCTAGATCAGACATGTCAAACTCGCGATGTCACGTGACGTTCCACAACGTATTGGACCTTTTTCCCCATTGCCAGCAATGGGGTGGGCGTGGTTTCCTTGTGATGCGTCCGGCCCGCGGGCTGGCAGTTTGACACCCCTGATCTAGATTCTAATAAAGACTCTTGATTAATCTATTTAATCTAATTTAAAGAGTCTAATCAAGAAATACACATTAATAAGATGCATATTTGAGATCGATGAACTTAGCATTCTATATGGCAGCTCTCCTATTATAGAAAATAATTACCAGCAGAGCTGAAACAAATCCTCCTTTTCCCCACTACAATTTAGGAAAGGACTCAAAACTATTTCCAGGTTTTAAATGTCATTATTTTAGCCACATGTTTTGACGATTATGGTAGTAATGATGTATTTAACAGATATTAGGCAGGTTTTGAGCTGTCCTTTTAAGAGCTGATAAGGAAAGGACCACTATCTATAATACATGTTCTATATAAAAAATAAATAACAATTTGAAAATAGCAAATGCAATCATTCATGTTCAAGAAGTGTATTAAAATATAAAAACACACTGCCATAAATCAAGAAAATCCACATCCATATTTTGGCATATTAAAAATATTGAATAAAACATATTTTAAAAAGAGAAAGAAAGGAAGACAATGGCAAAATTGATTCATTGTTTATAAATGCATTATAAATGCAGTCCTGTTTTTCTTAAAATATTTAAGATATAAAAAATAGTGTTGCAGTTTTAAACCTATTATAAAGTGAAGACATAGTATTATACTAAAAGAACATTGTTTTTGCTTGCTATGGTTTAAAATACTTTGGATAGCGAGATGGGTAGCATATAAATTAAACAAACAAACAAATATTTTTTTAAGACAACTGAGATAGTGGATAGTGAGATTGGCAGCACATAAAGTAAACAAAACAAACAAATATGACAACAGGAACCAAGTGCCTTTGGGCTTCTTATAAACTGAGTATATAATGGAGAATAAATTGAGAATTGAGTATATAGTAGAGAATAAAAAATAAAAATAAGCTTGTGCTTCTTTTCAAATGAGTCATAAAAATAATTTTCTAATACAATAAATCAGCTTCACATAGGTCAGTGGTGGCAAACCTATGGCACAGATGCCACAGGCGGCACTCAGAGCCCTCTCTGTGGGCACGCGTGCCATCACCCCAGTCCTAGGCCTTCAGCTGGGTTTTATAAACCCTTTTTGTTTTAGGCCTCCACAAAAAAAAAGGTTCAATCAATCAGTCAATTTCAACTTCTCGCGGGAAAAAAAAGATCTTGCAAAGTTGGAATTGATTGATTGAACTTTTTAGTCCCACCCAGTCTGCTGTTACTGCAGCCACGCCCACACAATGGGCCACACCCACATAATGGGCCACACCCACCCGGCACCTGACAATGCATAAGTGGGTTTTGGGTTACAGTTTGGGCACTCAGTCTCTAAAAGGTTCGCCATCACTGACATAGGTTTTCAAGACATTGATCCAATTTGGCTGCTTAGGCATTGTCAAATGTCTAAATTACCTCTGTATGTATCCAGAACTGGTAAAGGAGATTAAACTGGAGATGAACAGCGAATACTGAAGGTGGAATGCAAAAAGCCATTGGAAGGTAAAATACCTTTAAAAAAAGAAAATAATAATGATCAAAATATTTTTTAAAAATCAACATTTGTCAAGCAAGCAATTTAAGAAATTAAATAACAAAACTTCAATCTATTATCCTCTAAGTCCACTGGACTAAAATTTTATTTTTCTAAGCCAAAATCAAGCTGGGGAAGGTTGGATTCCATTGTGCAACTCTCTGTATTGTGGGTGTAAAGTTAGCTACATAATCATGATATGCCTCAGACAATATGAACAGAAAGAGCCAGATAACAGAAAACTCTTGGCATCCTATGATATTCTAATACTGTGAAATATGTTTCCTTGAAATCTAGTAGCGATAAAGATGAGAAAATAACAAAATGGGTTGCCACGTTTTATTATTTTAATTTTTTAAACTATTTTCCTTGTTGCTCTTTTGATATGGAACACCTTACTAGTCAGAATGATGAATTCCTAAAGGAGCAATACTTTCCATACAACTCATGTGCCTCCATTTAATTATCATTAAGAAAGAATCTGAAAACCTCCAGGCCAAAAACATTAGCACTGTAATCCAACAAAGGCTTATATAACTGTGTGTATTTATATAGAGCATTTTAAGAGAAGAATTTGGAACAGTTATTATCAGGGAAATAGAAAATTATGAACTGACAGCATATAGGCTTTTCCAAAGCAACGAAGAAAGATTATGAGAAACTGATTATTTTCCACTTTGGCATCACAAAAAATTTATTGAAACAGAACAAGCAGCATAAAATACTTTTTTTTCTTTGCTGAGTCCATCTGAAAATAGAAACCAATTGCTTCACTGGAGACCACGGACTTTCATAATGCCATACGAATTAGAACGTTTGGTCTCATTCTGAAACAAGTTGTTATATAAACATGTCATAATTCCATAGTTAATAAACTCTCATATCTACAAGAACAACTCATTTTAATTAAGAGAAAAACTTCACCAACATAAATTAATCTACTTGCTTCTTAATCCATTTATGAGTTTGGTTCCAATGGTCAATGATGCTAAACGGTGTAGACTGTTCATTTTATTAGCTATTATATTAGCACATTTTTGTAATACTTAATTAAATTTGTATAAATCTAAATGACAGAGCTTTTAGGATGAATGTTGGTGAAATATATCAAAAAGCAGAAACAAATTTAAATTTAAATTTAAATGCATTGTCTGAAAGCCTTTACAGCGTTGTGGAAATAATTCATAGTAAAAACAATAGAGAATTATGTTCAAAGAAGTAGGCATTAATATAAGGTGAGATAGTGTGCAACTCCATTTTAAAGTTATTTTCAATGAACCTATTTCCATATTTCCTACTGTTTATTAATAAACTATGTTTAGACTTTTAAAATTGTGACTACTCCATTCTAAAGGCTTCGTTATCATCGGTCAGCAAGTTGACTACTACCTCTGTGAAAATAGAATATACTTCTTCACCCTCTTGTAGCTCTGGTTCAAATTACAGCATTAGTGTGAGAAGGAATAGTGATCAATGGCTGTCACAGTAAGATTGCCTTCATATCCACCATGGAGGTCATGGTGTATTTGATCATTTGACAAATTAACTGTCTTAAGGAAGGAAAGAGGGTAAACTGAGCAATAAACAGAGTCACCAAGGAAAAGAGCCCACTCTGAGTGCCTTGCAACAAGCCCATTTTCTATTTTATATTTTTATCATTCAGATGGAATATAATACAATCATTTTATTTTGGTACAATTCTCATCAGTTACAAATAAATATGTTAATACCCACTTTATTTTTTTTAATATATACATATAGTAAATTCCAACATTTCAAAATAAGTTATGTTCACTGTTTCTATTACCTTTGATTACACTTACTATATTTCATTAGTTAATTATCAAATTAATAATTTTCAAACTATTCTCTTTTTTATTGGACACACTGGGTAAATGCTATTTCATGATAATCTAGGGTTGAGGTTTTTCTTTATTTTTTAGTGTACTGCATACCATAGAGAGAGGGACAAATAATATATTAGAATGTCTTACAAGCAGATAATATATCTAAGGAGTTAGATTTTTAAATTTTATTTTTAAACCATGTCTCGTTATTAAAATGAGTTTGAAAATGGAAACAATTTAAAAATCAGATCAGGACCACATTTTTATTTGATGCCCAAGTGAACAGATACATCATAATTTGATGCTAAACATATCTCAACTGAAAAAAGTTCCATTTGAATAATACTTCTACTCAGAATATCATTTCTTGAGTATACACAGAATGGCACAGAGGACATGTAAACGAAATCTTCATACATAAGGGCACTGTACATCTAGTTCTGTAGTATCTAAATACAAAAAATGTTCTAGTTCAATTTACAGATTTTTATGGTTTCTAAAACTCTGAAAAATCTTTAATTGCTTTACTCTTTTTTTTGTCTTTGACATGCACTACACACTGGACATACTCACCCATGATGCAAATTTTTGCAAAACAGATTGCCTTAATGCTGTGAATAAGTTATAATGTTCAGAACTATGATGTGCTTGATGTCCAGCCCATAAAAAATTAATCTCTGCAATAAAAGAAAAATATTTTGTAAGCCATGGAATATTATGATGAAATTTATATTTTTAAAATCTAGCAATAAGCAAATATAGCCTTTCATGTACACAGAAATTCTGCATTTAGAAATATACCTGATGCTCCAATTTATGGAAAGCATATGTAAAGTGTTGGTCCAATCAATATCCTAGCTTTCACTTCTGAAAAAAAATGCCTGACAGAATGTAGAGAATGCAGAATTCTTTCCAGAACTCCTTTCATAGCAGTAGGAGACATTTTATTTTCTTCTGTGTAATAACATAGCATATTGCATCTGAGTACATGGATGTGCTTGTATTCAAGAGGAAACAGATTATATTTCTCTATAGGACCCCTTGCTTGAACTAACCCATTTCCATAGTCATTCTTTTGCCAGCATTTCCTGCCATACCGAACTTCAGTTTTTAGTTACTCTGATGATGGAAAGACAGATGAACACACAAACATCCAAACCTATATACATAATTTATTTCCAACATTCTATTTAATTATATAATTGTTAGAAAATTGTTTATTTTTAACCTGGAAAAGAATATCTAAAAAATAAATCTGTAAAGGAAAGAAACAAGCATTTTAACAGACCTGTATGTTTTTATAAGTACATATTTGAATTTAAAAGTAACTATGAAATAAAGAAATCTATGTTGCTTATTTCACTGAAATTCCTTTTACAAACTCTTTAGGTTTAGGTCAGTGATGCCAATCCTTTTAGAGACCGAGTGCCAAAACTGCAACCCAAAACCCACTTATGTATCGTCGGATGCCAGGTGGGCGTGGCCAATTGGGTGGGCGTGGCCCATTGGGTGGGTGTGGCTGTGGTGGTAATGGCAGACTGGGTGGGACTAAAAAGTTCAATCAATCAATTCCAACTTTGCGAGATCTTTTTTCCCCCCATGAGAAGCTGAAATTGATTGATTGATTGATTGAATCTTTTTTTTTGCACATGGCGGCAGAGGCCTAAAGCGAAAAGGTTGTCTAAAACCCAGCTGAAGGCCTAGGACTGGGGCGATGGCGCGAGTGCCCACAGAGAAGGCTCTGAGTGCCACCTGTGGCACGCGTGCCATAGGTTCGCCACCACGGGTTTAGGTAGATCTCCATTCATACATTCCTTTGAAGTTAAATGTTTTATGTTTTATGCTTTACTGCAGAAAAATCAGGTATTTTTTTCTCCTATTCAGGAAGTCCAAAAAAATCTCTGAATTCTTCTATTTGGCATAGAATACAAGAACCTCTCATTGGTTTTTTTAAAAAATGGTAAATAAATGGGACTTGTCACAAATTGATTCTCTGATTGAAAATTTAAATTTAATGTAAAGAAGGCTTTTACAGCAGATTCAAGTCACAGAAAGGTGAACCTATATTATTGGAAGCAAACAATTAATTTGGTCCCGTCAGTTTTTGTTTGTTTGTTTGTTTTGCATCTTAGATGTTTTTACAGAGTTTTTTGCAATTTGTCACAGATGATGCCTTTCTTCAGAACAAAAAGAACTACAGAAAGTCTTGAGACAAGATTTCAAGGCAAGGTTGGGTTACGTATATAGCAGCAAACATGCACTTGTCCAGGTAACTAATTTATTTAATCTTCTCTTAAGATAACAGTAACGTGTTCCCAGCAATTTTAAAATATACCACTAATCTCCCTCAATAATAGGAAAGGTTCATAGAGGTCCACATGTAAATGAGTTGCTTAAAATATTGGGATAACCAGCTTTTCTCTAGGGGCCCTGGGGTTCTTTGAGAGGTCACAGAAGGAGTTCCATGAGAGATCGTGACTGGAAAAAATAAAAAAAAACATTGGCTTTTTTGAACTTCGTATGTAGATAATCATAATTTGTGGACAGGGCATCAAAAGACCTGGGAAGTACTTTTGTGTTCTTCTAGGATAAAATTAGTTTATCAGTTCTTCCAGGGTAAGAAAGGCTAAATTAAGCACATTCTATGTGATGAGACTCAGTCTATTCTTACTGACTTTCATTTCCTCTGAAGGAAAAAAAAGTAGTCTTTCATGTGACCTAGTGTATCCCTTTAGTCCAGAAAAATATGTATTAGACAACCAACTGAAACTTCTTGACTTAGACCTATACCCAAAGTGTCAAGTTTTATAAGAGGCCTCTGTAGTGTATTTCTTTCTCATTCCAAACAAATTTTTCTAGCAAAGTACCTTTCGTGCATAGAAATGTGTTTATGCTAACCTGTTTACTGTTTAAATTTTGAAGATATTAGTAAGGGTAGCTAATCAGAAACTTGATATTTGAATACATATTTATATTCTCAGATAAAGTCACTAAGGCAATCTTGTACATCCAGATGTGTTATCCCTTGCACCACAGAATGTTCCATGTTAGTATTGCTTCTTTAATGAAAATATAATAATAATAATAATAATAATGATGATGATGATGATGATGATGATGATGATGATGATGATGATGATGATGATGATGATAAAGTTGGAAGGGATCTTGATGGTCATCTAATCCAACCCCCTGCTCAGGCAGGAAAACCTATACCGTTTCGGACAAACGGTTTGCCCTGAATTAGTGAGGTTTTTACAAGCAAATTGATCATAGATATTTCAGTAAATGGTTAAAATCTGCTCAAATATGACTACTTCCATTATATCTTGATTACCTATGTCACTTAGTTTCATCTCTACTTCTATCTGTGTAATGTATTAATTCCTCATTTTATTTATTTTTCATATTGTAGTTATATTTTCTTTTGGTGTTTGATAATAATTCAGTAAGTAAAATATATAAAGTGTCATGGTCCCATCAGAGCCTGAGTCTGAGTCTGAGGAGGAAGAGGAGGAGGAGGAGGAGGAGGAGGAAGAGGAAGAGATGGAGCAGGGGATGGTGCAGTCTCTATGGCTCAGGAGGAATGACCTGAGAATGAGAATAAGGCAGTCCCAGGTCCATCGGGCCTCGGAAAAGTAGGCAGGGAGAAAGAAAAGGCTCAAGCTGATCAAGGAAGCGGGGAGGCGACAGAAAGGGCAGAGGAGCTTTGGAGCTCTGGAATGAGCAAATGCTTCCTCTGCACGATTCCCAAGTGCGAAGAATGGAAAGATGGCAGAGTCAGTGCAACTACTTGGGAGGGGGGCACCCCTGCTCATGAGGTTCACCTGGAGAGTAACATTTAAGGAGACGCCGTGAGGAGGGGCTTTTGCCAGGAACAAGTGTTTGTCTTTGGATTACACTCCCTTGGTTGTAATTCAAACTGCTTTGTTTTGAAGATTGCTCCTGCCTTGTTTTGAGGACTGTTCTTAGTTTACCCTAGCCCTGAAGATCCTCCCTTCAACTCTGCCTTGCCTTGGATTCCGTCGAGAAGTGCTCTTGGCTTTTTGATTTGAACTGTGCCCTTGTTTGTGAATTGTGTTTGTCTTTTGTTTCACTGTACCCTTTGGAAAACTGTTCCTTGTCATGGAACTTTGCCTTGTTCTGAGAACTGCCCTTGCTTTCTCTCTGAACTTGTGCCTTGTGGACTTGGTGGGTGCTCTATGAGCTGTTATTTAGGGGACTGAAAGTAGAGGCTGACTGGTCCATGGAGGATCATTTATTTAACCCTTTCCAAGAACTCTCTGGAGGACTGCCTTGTCTTGCCTCTCTGGCTCATAACATAAATAGATAGGTATAAATAAATTTCATACTCGGGAATAAAGACAACATTGGCAGATAAAGATTTTAGAGAGATACAATCCTGGTAATCCCTCACCCACTTTTTATATTTTACTGTTATACCAGATAAGCTTCAAGGATGAAAAGTCCTCTTAAGGTTCAGCAACTCTACTTGAACTTGTTTTCCTAGTTTTGCCCATTTGGCAGCAACCCTGCACTTTACACAATTCAAAGCCTAGAGATGCTGATGAAATGCTGATTAACACTTTATGGCCACTATTCCTATATTTTCACTCAGGAGAAGGAAAAGGAGACACAAGCTAGCCCAGAAATTCCCAAACATGGCTGGCTGAGAAATTCTGGAAGCTGAAATCAATAAGCTTAAAGTTGCCAGGTTTGGAGATCCCTGCTTTAGCCCAACACATGCATATTGTTCTTTATCTCTCTTCGATATCCAATGTCAATAGCCACTTATTATTGCCATTTATTTAAAGAAAGTCTACGATCACTATTTTATAAATCTTGAATATGTGAATACATGCTTGGCAAACTCAACTAAATGACTGTTTCAGGTTTGACAGACGTACAGCCTAAGAGGTGTGAGAAAGCCTTAAGAACATCACTGAGTGAAGATGATTGGTGACTCCAGATGTTGCCTTGTTATATTTATAAACTTTGATGAGTAGTTTAAATAAAGCCTATGATGATAATATGAAAATTGATTAGACAGGAGCCCAGGGTAACCCCTTTCTACAATAGTGCAAACATGCCGTTAAACTGAGATACTGTACATATGCTATATGATATTCTAAAAATTAATACAACAGTATTCTCTATGCCACATTGGGAGCATGGTGCTTAATACCAAAATGTAAATCTGTTAAATGAAATGCATTAAAAGATCTTAAGACCAAGATATTGGACAAATTTCAAACTATTGTAAAGATAGATATTAAATGATAACCTGTTATAGGAAACAATTTAATCATCCATAACTGCCTGAAGCTCTCACAATCTATACAGCTAGATCCCCCTGCCACTATGATTTAAACTGGAAAAGAATCCCTAATATCCCCTCTAAGAGATTTTTAAAAAAATAACAACAAAATCTTCTTTTCAAGTATACAGTATTCTTAAATTTCAATATTTAAGGAAAACAAAATAACTTAATCCACCCTTCATAATTAGTTCATTAGGGACTAAGTTATTCATTCAAACTACAATAGTGCACAATAATTTACATTTGAAATACTTCCTAGGAATATGACAGAAGCTAAATGAGCAAACTAAAAAAAACCTAAAAAGTGTGGAGGTTAAAGATCTGTCTCTTTAGTTGTTTTAAAAGCATATACTTCCT